TCCGGGGCAGGCGGGAATCGAACTCATGCGGAAGCGGCTTTAGATTCTCAGTGCTGTGCTTTAACCCGCTGCGCCACCAGGGAGGGCCTGTTTGCTCGTTTTTTTTAAGTGGCTCCCCCAACTCAGGACAAGCTGTTCCCTCTGCTGGGAATGTTCGCTGTCCTGCTTTTCACTTATCTTTAGTCTCAGCTAAACTCACTCACCTCAGAGGGGACTCTAAGAACACAGCAGCCTTACTCCAGCTCAGGCAGTCGCCTTACACTCCCAGCGTACTTGTCCATCTTAGCACTTGCTGTACTTTTGCTGACACATGTTAACTACCCACCAGCTCCGTTCAGCCAGGGGGAGGCAGTGTCACTATCTCCATGCATGCCTGCCATCAGGGCCCAGACTAGATCTGCCTTTAAAAGAAACTGTGACTTCAACGATTGTGTTCAAGAGAAGAGGAACTGAACCACCAAACAATCACATTCTCTACAAATTTCAACAACCAAGCAATTTGTTCACAACGCTAATTTGCAATGCCGGCATGCCATGGGCTAGCGGGCTGGGCGCCAGCAGAGGTGTGCCCCATTTCTGATGGAGAAGCAGGCCTTATAGCGAATCATGCAATTCTACTTCCAAGACTATGGTTCAAAAGAAAATCAGGGACAAACATAAAGATGTAACAGTGTTCCTCACTATGTAGTTTACAACCAGAAAAACAGCAAACAACCTTGGTAACCAAACCTATGTTGTTGAAAAAACAAACGTGTATGTTCAAACAATGAACACCTTAGCAGGACTCAGTGTTCAATCTGAGTCCTCCAAGAAGCTGTTAGTAAATGACATGACAACATATTGACAGTCAACAGTGGAAAGGCGGTACCACTGCCTCGCTTTTTCATGGACTAGATACTTGTTTTGTACAAATGTTTGCAGTGATCATTTCAAATGACAATTTTTTTTTAATTAAGAAATTTTTATTGGTCACATGAGTTACTTATAAATGAGTTAAGTTATCTTACAGACATGCCTTGCTGTACCCCTACTACCTAGCTGTAACTGGGTGGTCCCTAGGAGAAGGGAAGTTCCAAGTTCCCTGCCCCACCCAGAAGGAGGGTGGAACTGAGCAGAGAAAAAGGAAAGAGAAGAAGAGAGAAGGAAGGCAGATGGAGAAGGAGACCTAAGGAAGCCACATGGAGCAGCAAACATGTGATGAAGAAACCGCTCTTGTTTCCTGACCCTGGACTGGTGAAGGCAGATGTGGGTGAGATACCTGTAGGGAGGTGACTATGGCAGTGTTTATATTGATTTTGATTTTGCTCTTTTCCTCTCAGATTTGTCTGGCCATTTCTGACCCTTTTCCATGGGTCCCGGCCAGAAGGTGCTTTAGTCTTGTGGCAGGCTTTCAGGCCTTGCTTTGGGCCAGTCCCTTTTGGGTTGACTTTTGCCCACGAGGGGATGGTTAACTTCAGGTGTTTGATTTAGAAGTTACTTTCTTTGTGCTCCGTATTGTATATTCACTGTATTAAAGTCACTTTTCATTAAAGCTTTATATGTTTTGTTTTGTTGCGGCGGATGGCAGAACCCACTTAGAGCAGGCAGGTTTTGAGACTTCAGGGGTGTCTCTCTCTGAATTGAGGTGCCCTATAACAGATTTGCTGCCCTATAACATAGCCGCCAGAAGGAGCAGTAAATCGGGGCAGCTGGTTTAGGCAGGAGGCCAAGTATTTCACTTATCACTTCAAAGAAAAAAGTCCTGTCTTAGTCAAGGATTTTCATCTCTGAGCACTGCTGAGGCCAGCCTGAGTTATTTGTGAAGGGCACTGTCTCCGCTGCGAACCACGCACAGCTAGATGGGGGCGAAGAGGAAGAAGGCGCCAGGAAAACATCACCCGAGAGCACGTCTGTCACCACGGAAAAATGTGACCACCGCTGCCCCTTCCAGTACTTGTCAGCATCGAGACCTTGTTAGCAATACTGGGGGTACTTCCCAGGAGGACTCAAAGGGGGAAAACTGCCTGGGATGCGCAGTAATACTCAGGACCTGAGAGTCCCGCACATTGACAGGGCTTTAGAGTCCATCTAAATGCTCATTCAAAAAGGAGTAAGGCAAAAGCCAGATTCCTGGATCTAGACCTAGACCTACCATGTTAGAATCGTGTAGCTGGACCAAGAATTTTCTTGATTTATTCAGAATCAGTTCAGAAGTGACAACCCACCTATCGGTCAGTGATGAGTGGTAGTTTTAACAACTGCTGGCTGATTAGCACCAGAATCAAAAAATGAAAAGCCTCCAAAGTGACTGAGATTACACTACCTTCAATATGCTAACAAGTCCCACCAATGAGAAGCTCATCCCTTTAATTTCAATAAATCTTCCTCCTCTAAATGACAATCATTCTCTTTTATGTGGTCTTTAGTGGACCCTGAAAACAGATTGTCTACATTAGAATGTGTAACTGTATGGAAAAAAGGAAGGCAACAGAACACAAAAGAGACAAAGCCCTCCTGTCTGGCGAGGCATCCACACAGCTCCACAGGGGCTGGGTGGCGCAGGTGGGCAGCAGACACTCGGCCTCAGAACACACCCTGCCAACGGTGCTCCCAGGTTCAGACCTATCGCCACACACACACAGCCCAGTGGTGCCCAAATGGAGCATGTCACAAGATTATTATCTTTATGAACTTGTTTCTTGAGGAGGGAAAAGTCAAATGCCACCTGGGGATATTTTCAGGCAGAGTTTCCAGCTGTGATTAGACGAAATCACAATGTTTGTATTCAATGTGCTTCTTCTGAACCTCTAATGCTGACAGCGCCTTACCAGACAGATCCATAGTGCATTGGCCCTTCTGTGGCATGGACTAATAACTGCCTGCCTAAGACCTAAATCCCTATTTAGTCACATGGAGCTAAAATCCTATCATAGTAGTTTTAAAACATAGCACCCAATGCTTTTTAGACACCTCTCATTCAGAAGTGGGGTTCTCAACACTCTGATTGGACACAAAAGCCACTGAACTATACACATAAGCTGATATTATTAATGTTATATGAATTTTGTCTCCAAAAAAATAGTTCAGCATCTCCTCCTTTTGAATCTCAGCCCTGTGACTGCTGGCCCTAAAGAACACAGCAGTGATGTGCCTGTGCTGGTGAGACCTGAGCACAGGCCTTAAGAAAGGGGCAGTTGTTTCCATTTCCAATCTTCTTAGACACTCACCCTGGGACAGCATCACCACAGTAAGGGACAGTGCTCAGCAGTCTTTGCATGAGAGAACTCTGCAGGGGCCAGAGCCCCCACTAATTTCCCATTGATAGTACCAACTTACCAGCATGTGAGGGAACCACCTTGAAAGTGGATCCTCCAGGCCCTTCCCAGTTGCCTCAGTTACGTGGAGCAGGGACAAGCTCTCCTGCCAAATCCTCCCTATACTGCAGCCTACCAGGCTACCAGGGCAAACAAAAATGCCTACAGGTGTTTTAAGCCACTGAATTTTGTGATGGTTTATGCAGACAGAAACTGGCTTTTCAGTATAATAAAAGTAGCTCGTCAGAATAGTGTCAGAAAATTCTCTAACCTGGAGCCATAACTTCTCTAACCTGGATGCTTCTGACAAGCATCATTTTTTAGCACTTAAGAATTTATCCATGCATGCTGCTCTTCTCAATTCAATCTTGAGTCACAATCTTTCTAGCATGTTCACTCAAAGCTACGCCACAAAAGGAAAAAGGTGGTATCTGACTGTCTGACTCGGATTATCTTTTTAAAAGGGAGGAGGGAAAGAAAGTTACAGGATACAAAATCTTCAAAGCTATCAAATAACAAAAATTACAGACAGCATATTCTTAGAAGGAAGAAAAACACACTTGGGTTTGAGCTAAGCTTCCTCAGCCCGGGCGGGCGGGCCCCCTCGCTGCTCACCTCTGGCCTTTCAGGCGGCGGCTCGCTCTGCAGGATCCTCAAGGCCTTCGCAGCAGCATCATGCTTTGCAGCTTGTCTTGTCTTCCCCTTCCCGTTAAACTGCTGTCCTCCCACGGAAAGTTCAACTTGATAAAGTAAAGGTGGTACTGGAAATGGGTAAAAGTACCTAAAAAAAAAAGGGGATTAGAAAAATTGCTGTCAAAACTGATACACTACCTGTACTTTCTCTGGCCAAGTCCAGGTATTTCCTTCACAGTAGTTCCTTATCGCATTCGAGTCTGCTCGCCAAAAATGACCTCTCATCAACAGATTTTAGAGGGTCCCTGTACTCACACTACATTAGAACTGCCACAGCAAAAGCAACTACTGTTCAGGAGCTTAAACTTACGCTGCAGAAAACAAAATTGATTTACAAATTACAAGGTTTCAATTTATAATACTAATCTAGGTTCGCAAAATCTAAAGTGGATTAAGTTGGCTGAGAGAGAAACTTAACTTGCTCTATGGTCTCATATCTGAGATTAACTCATATACGTGTATCTCCAGAAAAGGCTGGGAATTTTTAAGAAGCTGTGAAGCCATTTAGAGCCTTCACTTCTGGAAATTTCAGTATCTATAGCATGGCAAAACCTGGTTTCTTACATTCCAGAAGCTGTATTTTTTAAAATGGAATTTTCCTCCCCTACCGACAGTCGCGCCCCTCCCCCGCTCCCCAAGAGCAGGGAAATACAAGATTTCCATTTTGATGATCCATCTACCTATTAATTTCTTACAATGGCCAGCCCAAGGTTTTAATGCTTGGCAGTTTCAAGTTTCAAGTCAGATTTTACTGCACCTTACTGGTCTCCAAATTATTTACAGAGCACATAAATTCAAAAGTCAAAAATTACCCAACTAACAATAATGACTAAATCAATGAATGCTGAAAAAGACAAAATTCATGTCATTTGCAGCAACATGAATGGAGCAAAAAGGGATTATGCTCAGTGAAAGAAGCCAGAAGGAAAAAGAAAAATACTGGATGGTCTCACTCACGAGAGGGGTATGGGGTCAGGGAAATTAAGGGGTCAGGGCAAAAAAACAACAGTTTCTAAAAACTAGAAGGTACTCTGCTGTGAGGGAGGGGAAGAGAAAGAGATCAAAACAGAAGCAAGATGAGCACAAGGGACTTGGTGATGGTTCACCAGTGAATTGGTGGCGGGAATTTATGGGAAATACACAATGATGTAAAATGTATGAATTAAAACAAAAAATTTTGTCAAGACAAAGTTCCAAAGGTTTTATTAAAGCACAATTAAGACTGACCTCAACATCTGGCAGTTTCAAAGAAACCAAATTACTTTCCATTCCACAATCTGCATGTTTTCAGCATTTTTCAAAACAAAGACCTACCTTGGGGGATAAGCACCTCCTCTCATGTTGTAGTTATAGGTGGACTGCATCCGGGAGTAAGGGTCAACAGGTTTATACATTGGTTTTTTCCCAAGTTTCATGCACAGTGCATTTAGTTCTACAGTAGGAGTTATGCTTTCTGCAACACAGAATAAACACAAAGAACTGTTTTCTTTCTCACACGTAAACAATGGTCACTACAATAAAAGGTAGCATGCTTTCTACTATGGATTCACAATGCATTTCATGAAATGGTCTAAGTGCTTCACTGCTAAGTACATGAGGAAATCCAAGATTTTGCTGCCATTTCTAGTTATTAATACAGTCAACAGCACAAAATACAATGAAAGAACTATTAGGAGCAAGAAATTAACACAAGATGTTATCAGTGGAAGAGTGAAAGCCATACCTCCCAGTTGTTAAAGTTTCAGTACATATCAAATTCTATTCTATGACTACAAAATTGCACGTGACCATCCAAATCATTTATTGTTTGGGAAATGTTAACCAATACAACTTTGATTGTACTGACTGACAGGTTTATTGGCTTACACTTAGAAGTATGTCTGCACACACTATTTCAAACAACAAAGCAATTATTAAGTACTAACTGGATTCAAAGCACTGTCCAATAAAGCTTGAGGGACACAACTCTTGCCCAGAGACGTTGAAAGATCACAAAAAACACTCAAAGAACTGCCACACAACAGGAAGTAATGCTGTACAGAGAACAGCAGCCCAATGGGCAGAGGCAGACAGTTCCTATCTAGAGAGGTCAGAGAAGGCCCACAAAATACTGAGGTATTTCCAGTCTTGATATTTTTAAGGGGGTTTGACCAGTGGTGATACTTATGAGGAACATGAGTTCTGCATCCATACACAACAGGACCACATACATATATCTTTTGGTTCTTATCTCAGAACTATCAACTTTAGAAAAAATAACATGCTATTCATTTTCTTTTTTTCTTCTCAATCTAATTCATAAATCTTTTAAAGATCATTAAAAAAAAAACAGCCTGGAAAGGTGAGAATCAGCGCACAATCACATTTAAAAACAGCACTTTCACATCAAACACAGAATAACACTAGCAATGGCAAAGTTCAATTTAAATGCACACAAAAATCACTTTAAAGTGCCTCTTTAGAATGTTTATAGAGGAAAATAAAAAAGAAAAAGATTTTATTTTGTGCTATAACCAGTTCAACTAAATTTTGCAGATGAACTGAATTTATAATAACTTTGGGTGCAAAATCAGAGTCACATGAGTAACTGACCTCTCTCTTGCTAACATCAGATTTGTATTTTTCACATAATTTATATAGCTGCATTTTAAGTATAACTTGAATAATTTTAAGGGCACCTCCAACCCATGAAATTTGTATGTAGTAAATCTGAAGAAATACTACAAAGAAATCAAAAGCAACACAAAGTGACCAAGTTCTTCCCGGACCCACTGCTACATACAAGAGGGCCGAGCTGTCCCCGTGCTCAGGGCTGTGTCTGCCGCACCTGCCAGGTCAGTGGTTCCCAACCTCTCACCAGACACCTTCTTTACTAGTATTCTCCCCTTTTGGGCCCCTTGTTCGAAGGAATATTATCTCGTGATTTATATTTAAGTTATTTTCTGATTCTTAATGATCAGGAGCCATGAACTGACAAGCAAGATTTCAGATCAACGTGTGATAATTGATATTACCGAAATATCTATTCAAACAGTTGCAGCTAAAATCTACATTCTTGGCAATCGATGACTTTATTGAGAGAACAAATATATTTGCAGTAAACTTTTCTGAAATCTTAGAAGCCACCTGGTGACAGCCCTCTCAACTCTGGCATCCCCATGGTGACCTCTCCAGATGTCAGGAGTCCAGAGGCCACAGATTGGGAACCACTGCTTCTGAGGTTAAGGATTCTGAAAAGATAAGCATTTGCCACTGGTAGTGCAGAATCTGTGCTTTCAAAATCAACACGTTAGTTGAGAAAGAACTCAATACATACTAAAAGGGTACCTCTAGACACACTTTTGAAAGGAACCTGTCTTGGCCCACGCATAATACCTGGATTCCTTCCTTCGCTACGAAAAGGGCGGGCTATGGGTTTAGGAAATTTTGTTCCTTCCAAAGCTTTGGCAGCAGCTGTGTGTTGGGCCTTTTTAATACTAGATCCTTCAGCTTCCCAGTTCTGATCTCCAAGTGTTAGCTGTACTGTAAACACCTACAAATGAAAATTGTGAGCTCTCAATTCATGAAACCTGATGTCGGCTACAGATGTCACTTGGACCTTGAACATTTTTATAGTCATGGTTTAAAAGGCCAGGTCATTATCTTCATAATTTGTCCCTTCACCCCTTTTCTGTTGTCTTTATAAAAAACACAAAAAGATATCTATATCATTGATTAGCACTGCTCAGCATTTCATGAAGTAACTATGCTTTGAAGACAGGGACTTTTAAATGTTTTGATTATGTATTAAAATGCCAGACACTGATTATTTAGAAGCCATCCAAATAATAACTGTCTTCCAATTACTTCTACTGGGTGAAATTTAACAAACCATATTTAGACACACATTAGTATCTGATACAAATTAAGACAGTATTTGTTTTGATGTTGTGTTTGTGAACTGTCAGAAAAACATCATTAGGACACCAAAAAAAACTAAATACACTTGGGAGTGTTAGCCGGTTTCAAATGCTGCCTTACATTTCCCCAGACTGGTCTTCAGTAGCTGCCTCATTCAGAAGAGAATGAAATCTATAGCAAGCAAAGAGCTACAAAAATTTCTAAGTTCATCTATAAAGAAGCATCCAAAACAATTCTGTCCTTAACAAATACTGATGATGGCCAGTCTCTCTTTTGCTTTTTTAAGTGTAAGGATAACCCAAGCACACATCCCGTCCTTAAAATTAGGCTTTATAGGCCCTCCCTAGTGGCGTAGCAGGTTGAGGCACAGCACCAAGAAGCTAAAGCCACTTCTGCATAAGTTCGCGCCCCCCCCCCCCCAGTGACCATGTGGTAAGGCAGGCCTCTCCTGGCCTGCCCGCAGCTCCCCTCAGCAGTGAGCTTCCTCGCGCTGCCTGTTCTGCTCCCAGCTGTGCCGGGTGAATCCTCTTACCCTCTGCATCTCTGGCCTGTACCCCAGTTTTGTATGAATGAATAAATAAATCTTTAAAAATAAAATTAGGCTATATAATCCTATCAGTACTATTAATATTCTATCAAAAAAAATGAAAATGGATGACAGCACAGTGATCTTTAACTTTGGTATACATGCAAAGAATCACCTGAGAAGTCTGGAAAACCCAATCAACTAAATAGGGATAACCAAGTTTGCCTATTTTTAAGAAGAGCCCGAAGTGATTATGATGCTCTAAAGATTGAGACACACTACACTGAAATTTAGCAAAACCAATTTGAGCTTTTATTTTTCTCCTTTATCACTGAATATCACATCATTTCATGTACAAGTAATGTACATGAGAAGCCTTGATGTAATAAGCACAGTATAAATAGAATAAATTTGGTGCTGAAGGGGAAGGGGCCACGTTGCCTTCACAGCTAATTTTTCTTGTAGGTCTTAACTTCAGGATTCCCTCAGTGCACAGCTTCCACTAAAGGAAAAATTAAATAATGCTCCATCCCCCCCGAAACATGCGGGATCTTCTGTGACAATGCCGCAACTCACAAAGTTACTCAATGAAGCACCGAGAGCAAGCTCTCCAAACCCCAGCGGTCTGAGAAGTAGAACAGCAGAAGTCTGTAATGCTGGGCAACCCCTGGGAAACTCATGGTCCTTTCATGGAAAGACACTCAAGGGGGAAATGCTTTAAAAAAAAGAATGATTAGCGGTCTCGCCCTCCTTCAGGCCTCCCCCTCCTTCAGGCCTCCCCCTCCTTCAGGCCTCCCCGTCCAGCGCTGCTGCCACTCTGTGCCTCCCAGGTGGAGGCTTGGTAGCAAGGTTACAATCCTGGCTTAGATAAAATTAAAAGAACACCAGACCCCGGACTTTTTAAATGTCACCTAGGACGGAATAACTTTTTTCTCTGAACAAATTGTAAGTTTAAAAAAAAAAAATGTGGTTACAAACACACAGCCAAATTGCCAAGTATTAGTTGAAGTGAGCAGGTACATATTTTTAAAAATACCAAAAATAGTTAGTAAAGGGAATCCCAAAGTTAAGGTCTGCAAAAAAAGGGGAAAAATCCTGTAGAAGAAATAAAACAGTTATAAAAAAATGCCTAAATACCTTTTAAACATAAAGAAACATCTCAAATAAAATTAAGCTTTAGAATATTAAAATTAGTTTCATGTGAATGAGATATCTCTGTTTTTCTCAAGTCCACAACTACTTAATAATAATAGCTACCATTTCTTAAACATCTATTAAGTGCCAGGCACTGTGCTCCACACAGTAATACACATTCTCTCATTCAAATCTCACAATAAATTTATCTGGTAGGTATTATTATCCCCATTTTACAGATGAGGAAACTGAGGTTAAAAGCAGTAAGCCAAGTTCCAAAACTAGATATAAGAAGCTAGAATTCAAACCCCGATCTGCCTAACTCCAAAGACAATGCCCCTAATCTTGCAATGCTATGGTGCCTCTTTATGACTGTGGCTGATGTTAGAGTTAAGTAAAAAGTGAAACTTCATGGCTCGAGGTTTATAGGCCAAGAAAAACAAGACATCAAGGACAATTCTCCTTTAATTGCATTATCTTTACTCAAAGCAAGGACCACAAAACAGGAGACCCTTCTCTCATACTATATATATCTTCTCTTACTGCAGTTGCAGAAGATAACTCCAAGATGTACATTAGCACAGATCTCAAACAAGCTTAAGACTGAAATCCTGAATAGTGAGATCTCTAATTACAATCAGTCTTTCAATCTCTAAGATAAAGCGAATGAAAAGGGTAACTAAAATCAGAGACAATTCAAAATACTCACTTTGAGACTAATTTCCACTCTTCTCCAAAACTTTTACCTGGATTGTTAACAAGTGGCAAACAAATTTTCTGGTCACTTCTTTTGCTGCCGAGTCTAAGTTACACATGCAAACAAGCAGGAAGGGAGCCAGAGGCAGGCAATAGCCAGGAAGCTCAGAGCACAGAACACACACAGGAAGTCACCCACGGGGTGCTTGGAAATTGTCTCTATTCAGAATCCTAAACCACCACACACTCAGTGGAGTTTTTAAAGCCAATTACCCCCCAAAGAAGTCTCTTTTCTTGGACCAGTTCTGCCAGAATGAGAAAAGTAGTAACTCACCAGAACACTATACGTTTGCATCTCTTTAAGACAACCTCAGCAATTTGAAGATACAAATTTGAATACAACACCACTTTCAACAGTATAAAAGGACAGAAAAAAACATTCCTGGAGGGTTATAAATGCACAAGCAGTATGGACAATATTTACCTTACAGTGAGCTGGACCTTGCTCACGCAAAAGCTTATACTCAGGCTGAATCTTGTTGAAACGGGCTAACTCATTCACAAGACACATTGGGGTTTTCTCTTTGGGGTGTGCCATGTTAGAAGGAACTGAAAAATAACGTAAGAGCATTGACGTCAACTAGCAGTATATAAGACTGCTGTTCTCCCAAGGATATGAAAAAAAAGAGGGAAAACACATCGAAGGTCTAAGGATTTAGAGCAGCACAGATGCAAACTGCACACCACACTGGGGGCACACGGGCCTGAAGACACAACGAGGGTCTTTCTGCCCTCACTGACGCCAGGGGACCTAACAGAGGGTGTGTCTTCAAAAGAGAGTAGACCAGAAACCATGGCAGGCAAGCAAGAGCTGGAGTCAGATGAGGCGCTGCTACTGGAAGCAACCAAGGGAATAAACAAGGCGGTCTTCGGAGCAGACACAGCGGCCACCGTGGCAGCCATCAGCTGTACCCCTGCGTGTTAGTTCGCTAATCTCAACATGCCAATCCATTTCTCTTTACAACTGCTGTGTTTTCCACACCACTCATTCCTAGGGTGTCCCCTAAGTGTTCGCCAGAGGTTGCCATCCTCAGACTGTACCTATTTCTGACAGTTATTTAAGTAAAATAAAATGTCCTTGTGGGAGGGGGTTTACAGTCAACAGGATGTGAACAGAACACATTAGAAGGAAAAGTAATCAATCCCAGAGGACTGTACAATTTCCTTTTAAGATAGTCTCACATGGCAAAATTTGGGAAAATTAAGTCTCTCGTGGACTACAGGTCAAGCAACCTGAAAGGGCCTGGAGGTGGAGTGCTGGGTGCCATGCAGCTGGTGGGGAAGTTAGTTCTCTGAGAACAGATTTCACAAAGGAAAGGAAATAGGACAAAGGAAGAAATGCAAGGGAAACTGGCAGGCATAAGGAAAGGGTCAAAAAGAACTTGCCGTTGGCAGGCTGGTATGGAAACACCACACTGACACTCCCTTTACTTCACTGGTTTTAACCATTTTGGTGAGTAGAATATTGGTTTTAGGGTGGGGTTTTTTGTGTGGTTTTGTTTTTTTTTTTTTTCATGTTAAGTCTTTTTTAATCAGTAACTCCCTTCCATACGTTTACTTCCCTACAAGCCAGATTTAAATGATTCTAAGCTATTCTCCTTTTTTTAAAATCTCTGCTTTGTTCAATTGCTAACTGGCCCTCACTGCCATTGCTGAACCTTTGAATTCTCAATTTACTTACTTTTTCATATTAAAAATTCAACGCTAACACACTTCTTTGCTTTCTACTAAGTCTGGTTACCCCCTTGGGGTAAAATCTTACAGACATAAAGAAAAAGGGGGCTTACACATAACAAATGTTCTTTTTGTCAGTTCTAGGGAGTAATTTTAAAAGCAGAGTTTTTAATTTTTCCATACAACAGTAAACATTTGAAGTGGTTTTATTATTCAGTTCTTTATTCAAGTCACCACTTTATAATAGACTAGGCTTACTGGTTTATGTTTTGATCTCTTTCTTGTACTTTTTGTTTTGCAGGGGAAGTAACAAATGCAGTCCCCTACTACCAAAATTTGGGGAAATGTCTGAGGTCAGCACACCTGGAGTGTGATAAGGTAAACCACACCCCAGGAAAACCACCTTTGTGATCATGGCACCTCCCCTGCCAGAAAAGTATGCCTTTCTCACACTTCTGAATGGTTGGTCAACTGAGGCCTCCAGAAACATAATATGCAATAATAAAGTGTATTCTAGCTGGGATAAGAAGCCGTGGGTTATAATAATTTTCTTCTGCTTCTTGCAGGTGAATGAGGGATGTAGATTCCCTGCATCTGTAATCTACTTATCAGATCAGAAAACAGGCTAAGAAAACATTTGAAACAGAAGACACTTGGATTTATAAGCTTACCTGCAGCTGCACTGGTGGATGTAATAGATGCAGAGGGTAAAGCAGAGTTTTGAATAGGTCTACCTGCATTTTCAGAGGGCAGAGAGCTAGCAGTAGAAGGAATACTCATCAAAGGCTGTGAGAGAAGAGACTGGTTCTTGTTCAGTATTTGGCTCCCTGAGAGAGCAGCAGATGGGTTCTGAACTTGCACTTGAACTTGAGACATGGTCACTTTCAACAAAAGTGAACAACTGCAGGTAAACAGCTTTCAGTGCAGATTAATTCAGTGCTATGAAGTCTAAAGTTCTACCTGAAAGTTGTAAGGGAAAGAAAATAAAAAGGTAAATTATAGAGATGATATGTACTTGCGAATATTCAGTCAAAACTGGTGTCAGCTACTCAAGTCTGAAAATAGCCCTGTTGGGCATACAGCTCTGTTGATTTATTAGAAGTGTGCTTCTCCTTGGTCTCTAGTAAGATTGCTAGCACTATGACTTTCTCAGTGTCTTTAAATGAATGACAATATTCACATGTTCTACGTGTTAATTTTATGAACAGAATTAGTAGAATGTAATATTTATTGCTAAATATTAAAAACTATGAACCATTGTTTATATTAAAAACACAAATTTTAAAGTATGGAGAGATCTTCCATAGTGTATGGGATATGAAAAAGGTTTCCGGTCTCAAAATTATAAGATACTGGAAGCAAGCTGGATTCAAATATCATTAACCCATTAATAGGTAAATGTGAATACAACTTCCATTTAAGGACCACAGCTCCAGCTCCGATCTGTACCCTTAGAGCTTTCCTTTAAATGGACTGAAGAAAGGGAGGAATTTCCATTTGCACTGGTTTTTTCCTTAAAATGATAAAAAGGTCTGTTTGTAGGTTCATTTAGTTACAGATGAAAAACTTTTGCACCAATATCAAAGTTCATGATCCTGAGAAGCTACATGAATAGCAAAGAAGATGAAGAGACAGATTTTAGATTGGCAATTTACTGGTATGTGAATTTACTGGCAATAAGTTCACTGACAATTTACAGTAAGGAGAGGTACAGATTCTGGGGAGCAGAGAGGAAGGTTGTATACTTCAGCTGGTATGTCCCAAAGACATTATTTATAGGCACCTTCAAATTTTTCAAAAGTCAAAAATAAGGACATTTCTATTCATTCTCATGGCCATTCTTCAAAAGGCTGAAAATGTTTAAGTCAAAAGTATGCAAAAATAACCAGTAGCAACAAAGACCAGAAATAGTCAACTGAAGGAGATATCAGCAAGCTAATAATGTGGAAGCTGTACTACAGTGTTACATTAATGCTTTTTAAAGTCTCACGACGATTTGAAGTTGGACATCTAAGATAAGACGAATGACCAGATCAATTAAGTAACTGAGGTAATCCTGACACATTCCCTCTTGCTGGGAGCAAAAAGGAAACCGGAAAAAAAAGAAAAAAAAAACCCACTAAGTTTAAAAGTGAGTATGGGTAATGGGGGCATAAATATCTTATCCAACAAAATCCCCAACAAGCAGTTGTTCCTGGTTTACTTTTGGAATCACAAACAAAATAACAAAGGTTCTGAAGTCTAGATAACAACCTTATCAAACAAGCCACCAGTGTCCAGAAACATTTAGAAGTCAGCTATGATCCTGTTTCATTATTTTCAGCTGCCAAAATATAAATAGTTTTCTCCTAACCCCTTCCACTCTTTCTAAACTCTCATGAGGCCACTTTTACCCTATCACCACCCCTCAAAAATCATTTATAGAGTACCCACAACTCCACAATACCAACCACAGGTCTCTACGTCAAAAAAGGAAGGCAAAATGTTTGCTCCAGAGCCCCACTCTGCTTCCACATCCACACCCCACTCTGCTTCCATAGCCCAACAACCCTGCCCTGGTGACTCTGAGACTGAATGAACGAACTAAACTTAGAAAGGGCGGGACCGAAAGGGATCACTTTTGGCTGATGCTGTCTAAGTAGGCCCAGTGCCAACATGTCCAGCCAGCCAGAAATACATAGTTTTTTTACAAGTTGTGAAAGAGAACAAACAGGATTTTAATTAAGACTGCTCCCAAAAAAATGTTAACCTTAAGTTCACCTAGGAGAGTTAAGGCTTTATACAAACTGGTTGAAACAAGTAATTCAAAAGAGCAAATAAAAATAGTCTAACCCTAGTAAGACTGGGTATTTTATAGATTTCAAATTTTCAGTATGACCAAATTAAAATTCAACAGTACTCATTTATTAATTTAATACTTCGAAAGAAAGAGGGGGAATGTTTGGTCACCAAAGACATTCAACAATGGCTGGAGACATTATCTGGTTGTCATCACTAGGGGATGGGCGATCATATTGGTGAGTGGGGAGCCAGGGAGACTTTTAAATACACACATACTCATCCACAAGTAAAATGTTTTAATGTAATAAACAGCTCTTATTTTAAAAAACAGAAAATGTCCTTTTCACCTAAAAAGCCTCTAAAAAACTTTATCCAAACATTCTCCTCCATACGAAAAAGCAGGTAGGTATCAGTTATGAACAGGGAAAATATATTCTCTGACTACATAATTCAAAGACCAGAGTGCTTCACTGCTGCTATGTGAGTGGTTCCCAGCAGCATCCAGAGGAGCTGTGGGATCTTGGAGATAATAAACTCTAGATTCGATAGTCAGCAATTCTCCATCTGACGACTAAATCCCTTAATGAAAACGTCTTTTCCTTTAGACCCATCTTTAAGGATTGTTTTCTACCAGATAAATTAGGACTCAAAAGAGACTGAAATGCTTGGTTAACAGTTTTCTTATAGGATAATATTTTAGACAGTAAACTCCGTTTAAAAGTTTGAAACAAAAACGTGTCTCCTGGGTTTTCTCCTATTTGAAGAATTTTAGACACCAACCGAGAAAAACATGTTCCTCTTAGACTCAAATCCTAAATTTTTGGAACACACATAAGCATTATTAACACAGAGAGGGGTGTGATATGACAGTTATATTTGGCTCTTTTAAAAAAATTTTAATTCCACAACTGGTTAAAGCACAGCACTGAGAGCTATTTGCATTCCCTTCAGCATGAATTCAATCCCTGGCCAGGAAGGTGGCCCACATGGCCCAGCAGACCTCTCATGACCTGCCTGATGCTCTCCTCCGCAGTGTGTTTCAGTCCATCTGCCTGTTCTGTGCCCCACAATGCCTCTGGTGAATCCTCTCACCGCCCCTGCACCTCTCGCCTGTACCCCACCTCTGTGTGCACAAATAAATAAATCTTTAAAAAAAAAAAAAAGTGATCAGGCACAAAACACATACTTCCTAACTCAGCAGTGACTTTACCCACACTATATATATATTGAGATTTAACACACACAAAAAAAGCAGATCCTTTTAAAAATCATTTTTACAGAACTACCTGGAATAGTGCTTGGTGTTATTTTCAACAGATTGTTAAGTCACGGTAGTATGAAATAATGTCAGCAATTATGAAAAAGGTTCTTTTTAATTGCTAATCTTTTGAGTAGATTAACACAACTCTATACTTTTGTGTAATAAACATGCCATTTCCCATTGTAACAAGTAAATTTTCCTAACATTTAAAAAGAAAAGCAGCACAGTATAAGTAATCTCAATTCCAGACAAGTTTTTAAGATAGCCACATTTCACTAATTAGCTCCCCTTCTAAGTCTTAAATTTTATGCAGCATGAACACACTGATTTAAAGGAGTACTCAATTTCTTGCTATTATATGGCATCAGCAATATCAACAGCAATTTTAGGATATAAGTGGGAATATCCCCAAATGGCCTGATGAAAAAAATTTATAGTCCTGAATACCAGTTTTCATCCTCTTGACGCCAACACTTTCCGTAAACTCCTTGATAAAATGGCTTGCTCTCGGGGGGAAACAAAATCAACAAAATTAAGTACCTACTACATGTGAATCCTATTTATATGGCTGGAAAAAATCCAACTTTCTCTAGAAGACATAAACAAAAAACCTACTAATATGTTAATCTATTAGTCTGTTCTCTTGAATGTTTTGAGGCTTTACTCAGAGAACCTTCAAAACAAAAAGTAAGAACACTTTTCCTAAACAGTCCTGAGGTACACCTAAAATATCCACCCCACTCTGAACAGTTCCGAGATCCTTTTCCCACATCTTTCTAGCCGTGATGTTACATGCATTCTGCAATTCACTCCCACGACAGCCACCACTGGCCTCCAACTGCACTCCTCCCTCCCAAGGTCCTGGCCTCCCCTGGCCTCTGGAGAAATAGCAATTCACTGACTCTAAACAGAGAAATATCTATAGGCTGGGCAGCAAAAGTACAGAAACATGGCAACACTACCACTCTACATAATTGTTTCCAAGAAGATGTCATGTTAAGCAAATAACGTTCAACAGCAAGCCCATAAATCAAACCAGAAATAAAAGGTTCATTAAAAGAAATATAACTAAGCTACTTAAAAGAAGAAAAAAAGACTATGTCCTCAGAGCTCAAAAGAAAGACACCAGACCCTGAGTCGGCACCATCACCTGCAGGGCGATAAAATCAGCCAAGCAAACGGTGGGGGGAGGGAAATGCACTGGACTTGGTGATGGCACACGGGTGATTTGGTGATGGGAAGCCCAAGGGGAGTACAACTGAGATGGAAAAATGCACAAAATGATGTAAAAATAAACTATTATTTAAAAAAAAAAAAATCAGCCAACCAGAATGCCAGGGCACCCAGGCTGCTCAGACCTTTGCATCTGATACAAGTGACTGAAAGTGGCCCGTCTCACACTTGGTCCACAACCAAGGGGGCAGCGGAGGATTTTCTTTCCACACAAATATAAGCGCTGGGTGGTCCATTTAAAGAAAACATTTGCTAAAAGGAAACTCATTATTAATTGCTCAACCTAAAAAACCCTTCACAATCTGCACTAAAGCGAAAATGTGTTGTTGCTTCAGCTTAACACACTGCAAACCTCTTTCCTAGTTTTAAAACCTCAACACACTCCTACCCCAACCTCTTCCTAACAGAAGTTCTTAGAAATAACTAAACTCCAACATTATTTTTGTAAGTAAAGAAGTGTTTTTAAAAGTCAGTTTATAAAAACAGGAAAATGTTTTATGTCAACCAATCTGAGTATCTGTTCATGATCTGTTGAAGATTTTTAAGAGCAGAACAAGAAGGATTTGCTCAGTAAGTTAACAGGCTTTTTCTTTCAAATAACATAGTCCGTAACCATGTGCTGTCCACCTTGAAACACACCTGCAATCACTATCATCTTGATGCAAAACATACCAGTGCCACCACCTTGTTTCTAAGAAACCAGTCTTGCTGCTAAGTAGCAGCCAACAATGCTAAATCAGAGTAAAACTCCTGAGCTGTGTCTTTCAGCTCTGCTCCCAACTCAGATAACAACTAAATAACCAATTCTTGGCAATCCGCTGCCTCAGTTTCCCCAAAACTTTGTTATAATCAGACATTGGATAAAGCCGCAGTTGTAGCACTCTGAAAGCTAAAACACAGAAGGAATGTGAAGCATGGTAAGAGTTCTAGAGTTTGGAAAAAAACCATTATACAGATTCAGTATGATGGGTGTATCCATTCAGTGTGATGAGTGCATCCATTCACCTAGCTTTATACAAGATCTCTAATTTCCTTAGGTTTCAACTTCCTCATTCCCAAAGAAAGTTAGGTTAATTTAGCCACTAATAACTACCTCAGAGATACAACAGGATGATGTGTTCTTGTTTCTTAGAGGGAAGGTGCTAAAAAATCATAAAGCATTGGGATCTCCCTGGTGGCACAACAGGTTAACGTGCAGCACCATGAAGCTAGCCGTAGCCGCCGTTCAGCTTCAATGCTGAGCTCCTTCCCGGGCCAGGAGGTGACTCACACAGCGCAGCAGACCTCCCCTGTCCTGCCCACAGCTACCCTCAGCAAGGTCAATCTGCCTGTTCTGTTCTCCACTGTCTCTGGTGAATCCTCTCATCACCACCACCCCACAGCTCTGGCCTGTACCCCAGTTCTTGAATGCATAAATAAATCTTAAAAAAAAAAAAGAAAAAATCATAAAACCATAAAAATCATAAAACCATAAAATCCTACTTGGTCTAATGACCACAAGTAGCCTACACTAAATGGAGCCTGCTTCAGCGCTCTATCACAACAGAAAACAATGCTGAATTTCTTCCACAAGCTTGAGAGCCAATCTGACCAAGCTGCTTGTTGACCAAATTATAGTTAATGACAACTTCAGTGGTTAAATTTCACAATTTCATACATTTCTCTATACTTAACGCATATGGCAGTGTTGGCTAGGTTTTACATCTCTGCCAACAATTTTTCCTGCATTTACTTTCTAATTAAACCTCAAGAGTAAAAAGAAACTCAAATGGCATAAAATTTCTTGTCTCTCTAATATTACAGCCAGAAGTAAATCATTTTCCACAGAAGTCACTGATGAACTCAAGGACATTACGGATTATGAAAAGGCACAAAATTACAGAACCAAGTTATGTGTACCTTAAAAAAACAGCTCCAGGAACAATGTTGTTTTGTTTCAGTTCTGAGATGTTATATGATTAGCAAACTCCTGGAAAATAAGAAACAGTAATTTACTAGAGTAGAAACAGTAATTTTCCTGAAAATGAAGATATATATTGCTAAAGATTTAGAAAAGTACTAGTACTCGTAAAGTTTCTGTAAGAGTATCATGGTGCAAAGCAGCACAGTGCAGAGTCTCTAAAAGACACAACAGCCTAGGATCAAGAACATTTTGCAGACACATGACAACAGCAGACATCAGAAGTTTTCTTTTTCAGTCTCAATACTTCCTGTAAGAGGGCTGTGAATCTTCAGGACAAATTTTCTTCAAAGGAACTAGTTGCTATCACACACTATCTGATCACACAAATCTGGTTTTCAAATTTAGGGGGTCTTATCCCTCCTCAAATACAGGCTGTTTTACTCATAAAAGGACAGTCATGTCCTTACCACATGCCTGGTGATGCAAATGCAATTATATGGAAGGAGTTATAAAAAGGCACTCTGTTTATAAATATTCTTATATTAATTTGCAAAATATGAAAAACACTTTTTATCTAGTAAATCCAAGTTACAATCATGCTCTAGAACAAGACTTCAGGTGTTCTAAGTTAAATTCTCAAACTCTCAGGCCTTACTTATCTAAAGGTTTCTCCCCTTTTAAATGTTGTAGTCAGTAACAAATAGAATTCCTTACCTGGGTATGTGTTTGTATTTTTACAAAATAAAGGGATTTCAACCTAGTACGGAGGCTTAACAGATAATAAAAAGTAGCTGGTTCAATGTCCACATGATTTCAGAAGCAAAACCATAAATTCTGATTTGTTCAACAGTATTTTAAATTCTTCATTTTGTTCAGTATACTGTAATTCTTCAGTATACTGTAGTAGTAGTAGTACACTATCCCTGTTGTTCCACAGCCTCATCCATTCAGAAGAGCTAAGATAACTAGGAACTGAAAAAGATCTCTGAGCAGCTCAACACATGGTAAAGTCACCTTTTATCAGTAGTAGGGGCTGTCCGTAATTTAATCCATACTTAACAATGATGGTAAATTTGGAAATTTAGCTTTCTCAACAATAGTAAAAAACTAGAGGTGGCTCAAGGGGTAAGTATCAGCACTATGAAGCTATCGGCAGCCACTGTAGATCAGTTGGATCCCAGGCCAGGGAGGTGGCCCATAGGGCATTGATGACCTCTCCCATTTCCCCCCTGCTCCCCTCAGCAGTGTATTTCAGTCCATCTGCCTGTTCTGCTCCTCAGTGACTCTGGTGAACCCTCTCACCCCTTCTCCTTGGCACCATGACCTATGTCCAAGTTCTTGTATGTATAAATTTTTTTTTTAAAGTAAAAAATCAGAATGGAAAAAAAGGCACTGCTAAACTCAGATATAATGACAACAGTAAGAAACAACTGCCAACAATTTAACCACAAAGAGAAAAATCAGTGGGTGGGAGGTGGGGGATACAGCAGTCTGCCACTATCTGGGTTTCAGACATCTTTACGCAATACAATTGATGGCTAAAATTTGTATATACCTTCACATAGGAGCAAACTCATTCTTTGAAATCCCTACTCTCAATGAGAATCCAAGCATCATGATTATTACCAGCATATCTATGCAGCACACACTTAGCCCAACCAGTGGCAGAGATAAGACTGACTGAGCTATCCCAGGTCCCTTCCCCCCTCACTCAAGAAAGCAGGCTAAAATGCAAGGAAATAAACTGAATTCATTGCTTTACTCACCTATCAGATCTTTACTAAACACCCACTATTTTACAGGCACTATTCTGGACACTGGGGAAAGACAAGTACATAAATACCACGTAGTTCCTAACCTTGTAGAATTCACATTTGTACAGGGATAACCTTGAGCCCAACATGCACTGAAATAATTTACAGTGCTATTATAATTATAATAAATCATTCTTACCATGCATTACCTCATGACTAAAGATATATAGGATCATTTAAAAAAAAAGCTGTGAAGGGCCTATCTAGTTAAGGTATGTGGAGAAAACTCTTCTGATTCAGGATCTGAGATAAGGCTTCAACAGGTATTCAGCTGAATCACTGTGAGTAAAGTATACTTGTAGGTTTCAACCTTTTAACACTAAGTGGGTTTGCCACACCAATGATACAATATTCCTACAATTCTTGAATGAACTGGTAACATACATGAAATGCTAGTAAATTATGAAATGTTATACCAAAGTTATAAAGCTTATCCCAAAGGGGAGTCAATATAGTAACAACTTAAGAAGCATTTTCTACTCACTTCATCTCGAGAACAGACACATTTCTAACTTTTCCATGATTAATGAGACACATGTATGTCATCACAGAGGAACAGGTTAGGTCATTTTGGTTGAAGCTAAACACAGAATGGAAACTCATACCTCATCTCACTAAAACCCAGGTCTAATGCAGACTTAATTTCATTGATCTAGACTTTTAAGATCGGCCATGAGACATGACTACTGCCTGGGGGGTCAACCAAGGAAGCTTCTTACTAAGGAGACCATAGATTTATAAAGAAAATAAACTGGAAATTGTCCAGGAGGCAATTCAATACCAAACACTAAGTTACAGTAAATATTCCCAATATTAGCCAGGAAATGTTAAAAATGGAGGTGAAACAAAGATGTTAACAACTACCTATCCCTATAGAGCTAACTGGAAGCCATATTAATTCATTTCCAATAAAGCAGAATACTGTAATTCTTTTTAAAAAAATTGCTAAACAACTTTGCCTGTAGTTAATAAATCATTTTCAGTGAACTTCATGAAGGATTACAGCAGTAATTTAGGAGCTAGCTTCCTTCAACACAAAGATTAATAAAACTCCCCCCACCACCAATTTACTTCTAACACCCCCCCCCCAGGAAACCCTTGAATTAGTTTATAAGTTGGCTGGACTGAAGCAATCTATTACAACAAACAAAAGTAAACTGTAAATCTTCAAACTATTTCAAAAGAATGACAAATAGAGTTCATTTAAGACTATTACTGAACCAGACTTATTTTTTCCAAGTTGGCCTAAAGTTCTAGTGACCAGGAGGGAAAGCAGAAGCACTGCTCTCACATAACAAATCATCCTAACAAAAAGCACCTGAGCATAATGAGCGGGAAAGAGGACCGATCCCAGCAGACACCAGCCCTCCCTGAAGGACCTCCATGTCCTCAGTCAGCAAGACATTCTTGAGTGTTAGAAATACAACATAAATAGCATCTACTTCAACCTATGGCCCAGAGGAGGAGCTCACTGAATAGCAGCTTTTATAATGTTAGATAAATTAAATCCGATTCCTTTTCTACATCAAGTAACTCGTACCCCAGTAATCCTAACCTGGTATATAGTAGATCAAAAAATAGTAGCAAAAATTATTATCCAGCAAATTCACTAATCCTATCCTCCGTCACATAAACATCTATAAAAGTAAACTTATAGCTAAATTCTGTTTGTTAAAAAGACTTAAAATGGGAATAGAACATGCTGACTAAAATCAACCTACTCACTGGGCAACTCATTCTAAAGCTACATCAAATATAGAAACCCTGTGATGAGCAATCATTCTCATTGAGAAAAGACCCGAGGATACTTAAGCAGATTTCCTTAAAGACTTTGAAGTCTGGTAGATATGACAAAATCTTCTAGGACAATTATGACCTCTGTGTCATCTTATAATAAAAGGGCCTGTTTTTGCTTTCTTCACTGTTACAAACTCATGAAGTCATCACACTTCTCTCCCAAATTAAGTTCCAGATTAAACAGAAGCAGATGGGCTACAGATTTAATATTTTAGAAGACTAATTTTTAATTGAAAGCAAATACGTTTTTGGATAGCTTTTCCTAATTTTGCTTTCAATAAATATATTGAGGAGCATCCTGAATATATGCCTTTAATAAATGAAGATGTATAATACAAGAAAATATAATTAACAGTCTGTAGATTTTTCTATCTTCATCTGGTGACCTAAGTGTGAGAATGTAAATATTTCAAAAGTGGATGAGGCTGGGCACTCCCTGGTGGCACATCAGGTTAAAGAACAGCAATACAAAGCTATCACAGCCACTGCAGCACGAGTTCAATCCCTGGCCAGGGAGGTGACCCACATGGCGCAGCAGACCTCTCTTCTCTTGCCCGCTGCTCCCCTCAGCAGTGTATTTCAGTCCATCTGCCTGTTCTGCTCCCCACTGTGTCTCTGGTGAATCCTCTCACCTCCCCTACCTCTGGTCTGTACCCCAGTTCTGTATGCATAAATAAATATTTAAAACAAAACCAAAAAAAGTAGATTAAGTTAGTACAGCAATTTCCCCATTTTAAAAACAATTTCCTTTGTTAAGGTTTTCTTAGCTCATAGCATTAAGTTATCTACAAAACCGGTATCCAAGCTATCTATCCAGTGACATTTGTTAACATCAGTATAGTGCTACAGTTATAATCCAATTAACTTTGTTAGAAATTTTTTGTAATACAATATTGAGGAAAAAATAACCACAGCAACAAGTAGGTCTTCTCATAGCCAATCTTTAACATACATATTTTTCAGAACAGCATAAATTCTATAGTCCTGATTTTGACAAAGCTTCCTTTATAGAAAAGCTCTTGCAGAAAGTTACACCAACATTATAAGCACACAGGACTCCATCATCAGAAGTTAAAACCACCTTTTAAGATATAGTGTAAAATAAAATCTGTCCTTAAATTCTCAAAAACAGTTTGTGGGCTCCAAAATCTCATTCTGAAAGAAAGAAAGCTCTCATTTGAGGGGAAGAAATTTACATTTTCCCCTAGCTAAAAATTCTGTATCACTAAGTATGAATTCGAATACGATTATCCAGTTTGGAAACTCAAAAACAAGGCCACTGGAACTGACTTAAACATTCCCACAAAAAGGTAACTTTCTCATCAAAGTTTCATCTTCATGCTAGTGAATTTAACTCTCCCTCCATCCAGGAAAAGGGCATCAGAGAAAGTTGCCCTACAAACTCAGTCCCACTCTACACCCTCTGTAGTAAACCTTTGCTGTCTTACCGGGGTGAGACAGTGGATGATACAGAATCCTGCAGCCCATGTTTAATGATTACAACCAGAATGTTAATGGACTGAACTTCAAAGTTGGGGGTGGTGGGTGGGGAGGGGGTTTATGAGTCATACTCATTTCTAAATTTAACATCATCTGTATATAAATGGACTTTCTGGATACATCTCAGAAGAGTGATTTAGGCTGAACAAACTATGGTACCAATTTCAAATACTTAAGTTTTACTTCCAGCCTAGTGGAAAGCATTAGGCATTTTTTAAAATAAAGCACATTTTGTGTCCTCTCCTACATAACACATAGCTCTCCATCTCCCGGACTGTAGTAAATAACTAAAACATAAAATACATTCTCACTGTACCTGATCAAGTGAAAGCAAGCCTACAGAAATGAAATAACAATCATTACAGCTCTAAAGCTGGAAACTGTTCATGACCAGAAATTCGAAAGTTAACAATGACAACTGTACTACTATTGTGAGCTTCTGTGCAGGGAGCGAGCTCTCTTTAAATAAAGAAAAACATGAACAGGTCTCCCTGGTGGCACAAGGGGTCCAGTTTCAGCACAAAGTGTGTATGGTGGGGGAAGCGGGAAGGCACCCCCCTAGTGGCACAAGGGGTCCAGTCACAAAGTGGGGGTGGGGGGGAGAGGCGCCTCCCTGGTGGCACAAGGGGTCAAGTCTCAGCTGTCTGCACCCACTGCAGCATGAGTTCAATTCTAGGCCAGGGAGTGACCCACATGGCACAGCAGACCTCTCCTGTCTCCCCACTGCTCCTCAGCAGTATACTTCAGTTCATCTGCCTGCTCTGCTCCCACTGTCCCTGGGAAATCTTCTCCCCCCCCCAACCCCCACTTCAGCCTATACCTTAGTTCTTGGATGCATAAATAAAATACATCTTAAAAAATAAAAAAATGAACATCTAGGCATGTAATTCATTCATATTTACTGAAACTTTGTACATATAGCTGTATGGTGGTGGGGGTAGTCTTTAGAAAACAACCTACAACAGAGGGTTTTGAAATCAAATATCCTTTGCTTAATTCTTAACCAAAGTGATAGCAGCATATTTACACAACTACTGGAAAGAAACTTTGAAAGCTTCATTATGAATTATTAACTGTAGTTCAACTTGGATACAAAGTTATTCTCTATTAAAAGTGGTTTAACAGGTAGGTCTCCACCAAAACAGCACTAAGGGTATCTGTAGTTCTGACTGCTTTTCAATTATAGTCATTAACAGCTTAAAAATTGTTTTTGTACACAAAGAAGCAAGGCAGTATTTTAGGTCAGACTTTTGAGGGGCACAAGCGTTCGGTCAAGAACTAAATGGGCTGCCTATTTTTCCTGCTGCACAGTAATTTTGTATAGAGATGAAGAATCCAAGAAACAAAAGAACTTTGATTCTGTAAAAAGTAAATTCTGTGACATATTAATAGTCTGGAGCAATGTGATAAAACATATGTTTAGGATTTGTTTCAAAATAACCCAGTTTGGGGGAAGGAGATACAACATGTTAACAAGATTGACCTTGGCTATGAGTTAATGATTACCAAAGCAAAGTGGCCAATACCTGGGGGTTCTCTATATTATTTGACTTCTGTATGTCTTCCGTGATAAGCAGTTTTTTTTTTTTTAATTAGGTCATCTACTACAATATTAAAACGCCACTTTCCTAACACCACAATTTTCCACCTGGCAGAAGACATGGCTTGTCTTACTTGTATAGTTGTTTGCTTTGCAGTGGTTGTTTAAGGTATTTTTAAAGAACCATCCCCAAAACAAGATTTTAAATTAGATGATGGAAACAAGATTTTAAATTAAATGATGAAGGAAGTTCTAGGAAAAAAAAGACCACTGTAAATCAAGACAGTTTAAATAAAGAAATACATTGTCTAAAACAGTCCTGATATAGGAGGGCCATTCAGTAGCATAAACACACACTTCTTACTTTTGTAAATTTGAAACTCCATGTGTTACATTTCCTTAATGAAGGGTACACCCAAACAGCAAATACAGAATTAAACGAACCTCCACCCACTTAAAAAAAGGTTGCTGTTTTTAAAATCTCACCTGTCACCAGGACTTACTGAAACTGTTCTCAATAATTCAACATTATTTTTAGTTTTCACCTCAACAAGCAGTAGTTTACATCTGGTAAACACACAGACTCCTGAAAGGCCAAAATCAACCAAAGACGTTGTTTAACTCTTTCCACCACCCGCTAAACAATTAAAAGCTACAAGCAGAGGGGAAGAATGACCTTAAAAAAGTCCCCACCGCCAGAGAAGAGGCAGAACAGACTGAAGCACACATCTCCGCTGGAACAGAAGAAAGCTTCCACATAAGCAAGACTGCAACACGAAGGAGGGCGAGGGCTTAAAAGGAAAGTCAGCCAACAGGGACGGAGGGAATAAAAGCAAAGCTGCAGTGAAAAAAGTTAGAAGTTAGAGATGTGGCGCAAAATGGAGACATATTTTCAGGCTTTGTACAACCCCCTCCTGCTCCTGACACACTGTAAGTGCTCGAAAAAGGTTTGCTGAACTCCAGGGAAGCTTCTGCCAGCAACTTTCCCAGAAATGGAATGACAACAAGCCGGATGATGGCAGGAAAAAAAAGGAAAGGTTGCTCAGGCTGAAGGAGCTGGTGAAAATCTTGCAGTTGGCTCAACGGAGATGGAAATAACAGCATCAAGCGTTTGCAGACTGCTTACTACAGAGTGTCCCAATTACACATTCACCCCTTTCGGATGTTCACCCAAAACAATGTCCCGGCTGCGGCGGTGGGCACGCTGAACAATTCCGCCCAGACGGGTAGAAATCCAAACGGGTAGGTAGGTCAACTTCTGCCCACTCTACCATGAAGTTACACCTTAATATCGCGCTAATAATTTATGCAGACGGTTTATTGGGACACGCTGTGGGTCTGGCACTCTGATAAGCGCTTTACACGCCCCATTTCACTGAACCTTAAACGGCCTGAAGAGGCAGGGACGGTATTAGCCCCCCCTCCCCTTTCCAAACAAGACACAAAGAGTTTGAGAGACTTGCCTAAGGGGGTAGAGCTGGGATTAGTGCCCGTGCCGGCCCTGGAAGGTGCTACAGACCCTGCCCAGGAGATTTACATACTCCGGATCTCACGGGCTTAAAGCGGGGTCCCCTCTCCCAAGCCCCCCACCCCGCCCCGGGAATAACTTCGGCATCCCTCCAGGCACGCGAGGAGGAATGAGCAAAGGCGGCGTGGCACCTGTCTCTGGCCCCAGCAAGCAGTGGAAGGGTAGGAGGCGCAGAGCCCAGGCCCCGGGCGCCCCGAGGCGGGGGGCGCGGGAGG